GGGGGGACCCAAACATTTGAAATATTTAAAAATTTTATTAACAAAAAGTAATTCATCAATTCATCTTGAGAGACAATGTTCAACAATATGGCTTAGTTTGTATTTATTTACTTACCCCAAAGCCAGTATATCATTGCTGCTAGTGAAACAATGGGAGTGGTAGGGCCTATGGCAGGATGCTTCAAAAAGCCTGAATCCTAATTTCAAACCAAATGCTATAGCAACCCAAATATCCTAACAAGTTGCACATATAGAATATTGGAGGATATTGTAGGAATTCTGGTATTTATATAACATTTCCCATAAAATAAAAAATGTTCAGAGAATACACACTAATACAGCACTATGTGTCCATTCAGATGGTAGCTGGTTTCTATACTACAGTTCTACCAAGTTTTCATACCACTGAATTACTTTTACAGTGGCTTGCGAAAGTATTCACCCCCCTTGGCATTTTTCCTATTTTGTTGCCTTACAACTTGGAATTAAAATGGATTTTTTGGGGGGGTTGTATCATTTGATTTAGACAACATGCCTACCACTTTGAAGATGCAAAATATTTTTGTGTGTGAAGCAAACAAGAAATAAGAAAAAAAAAACAGAAAACTTGAGCGTGCATAACTATACACCCCCCCCCCCCAAAGTCAATACTTTGTAGATCCACCTTTTGCAGAAATTACAGCTGCAAGTCTCTTGGGGTATGTCTCTATAAGCTTGGCACATCTAGCCACTGGGATTTTTGCCCATTCTTCAAGGCAAAACTGCTCCAGCTCCTTCAAGTTGGATGGGTTCCGCTGGTGTACAGCAATCTTTAAGTCATACCACAGATTCTCAATTGGATTGAGGTCTGGGCTTTTCAAGACATTTAAATGTTTCCCCTTAAACCACTCAAGTGTTGCTTTAGCAGTATGCTTAGGGTCATTGTCTGTTGGAAGGTGAACCTCTGTCCCAGTCTCAAATCTCTGGAAGACTGAAACAGGTTTCCCTCAATAATTTCCCTTTATTTACCGCCATCCATCATTCCTTCAATTCTGACCAGTTTCCCAGTCCCTGCCGATGAAAAACATCCCCACAGCATGATGCTGCCACCACCATGCTTCACCTTGGGGATGGTGTTCTCGGGGTGATGAGAGGTGTTGGGTTTACGCCAGACATAGCGTTTTCCTTGATGGCCAAAAAGCTCAATTTTAGTCTCATCTGACCAGAGTACCTTCTTCCATATGTTTGGGGAGTCTCCCACATAGCTTTTGGCGAACACCAAACGTGTTTGCTTCTTTTTTTCTTTAAGCAATGGCTTTTTTCTGGCCACTCCTCCGTAAAGCCCAGCTCTGTGGAGTGTACGGCTTAAAGTGGTCCTATGGACAGATACTCCAATCTCCACTGTGGAGCTTTGCAGCTCCTTCAGGGTTATCTTTGATCTCTTTGTTGCCTCTCCGATTAATGCCCTCCTTGCCTGGTCTGTGATTTTTGGTGGGCGGCCCTCTCTTGGCAGGTTTGTTGTGGTGCCATATTCTTTCAATTTTTTTATAATGGATTTATTGGTGCTCCGTGGGATGTTCAAAGTTTCTGATATTTTTTTATAACCCAACCCTGATCTGTACTTCTCCACAACTTTGTCCTGTTTGGAGAGCTCCTTGGTCTTCATGGTGCCGCTTGCTTGGTGGTGCCCCTTGCTTAGTGGTGTTGCAGACTCTGGGGCCTTTCAGAACAGGTGTATATATACTGAGATCATGTGACACTTAGATTGCACACAGGTCACTTAGATTGCACACAGGTGGACTTTATTTAACTAATTATGTGACTTCTGAAGGTAATTGGTTGCACCAGATCTTATTTAGGGGCTTCATAGCAAAGGGGGTGAATAAATATGCACGCACCACTTTTCCGTTATTTTTTTCATTTCATTTCACCAATTTGGACTATTTTGTGTATGTCCATTACATGAAATCTAAATAAAAAACCATTTAAATTACAGGTTGTAATGCAACAAAATAGGAAAAACGCCAAGG